AGGTAAAGTTCTAATCCTTGAAAGCTATTATTACAAACTGTTTAGGATAATTAAGAAATGCAGGTTAATAGTTAGTCATCTATAACACAACTAAAGAAGTACTCCTATTCCTCCCCATCCTGTGGCAGCCACCAGTCTGTTCTGGTTTAATGAACTTACCTATTTTAAATACAGCATTATGATCTTTAATTTCTTGCTTTGTTTACTTATTTTGACATGCATCCTTTACTCTTTTTAAGGAGGAATAGTATGTTCCATATATATGCCATGTGTCATTCATCTCTTGATGGATCTCTGAACTGTTTTTATCTTTTGGCTTTAGAGAAAAGTGCTATTGTAGACATAAGTATTTGCTTAAATAAATACCTGTGTTCAGTTTCTTGGAGTATCTACCTAGGAGTGGAATTGCTGAGTCATATTCTGTACGTAAAATTTTGAGAAATGCTAAAGTATTTTCCATTGTAAATACACTTACAGTCTTACCAACAATGTTATGAGGGTTCTGCTTCCTCTGTTTCCTCATGAACACTGTTTAATAATTGCTGTCCTAGTGAGTCCCACATGGCACTTCATTGTACTTTTGATCCGTGTTTCCCCATGATGGTTTCCAGTATCTCTTTATGTGTGTTTCCATTTGTGTGTCATCCTTATTGATTAAATGTTATTCTCATGTATGTGTATGTGCTATATGTTTTTCCTGTATTCTTCTTCTGTCTGTATTGACACTGTGTTGACAATATTGACACTTCATTTCATTTGTATTCACTTTAAATATATTTTTAAAAGTTCTTTTGACATTTTATTTTCTGTTCTGGGTTTTGTTCTCTGGACTCTTGTACTTTGTTGTGTATTTCTATTTTCTGCATTCTTGTGAATGTTTTTATAAAATTACATTTTATCCTAGAGTATTTTGTGTATAGTATTTTTGTAGGTTCTTTCAAAGTTATTTCTTTCATTATATAAACATCATATTTCCCTTTGCTGATGTCATTTTACAAAGTCACAGGAAGTGTAGAAACCACAGCTCCATTTAGGCCTTTTTATTCTCTGTTTATAACATCGTGTTAATATTTGCTATGCATGAATTTGAACCAAATTTCATACTTTAATTTTTGCTTTTGTTGTTTAAATACACTTTCAAAAGCTCAAAAGGAGAAGAAACGTTCATTATATTATTCATTTTGGGGGGTATTGTCAATATTTTTACTCCATTATTTGCTTTTTATTTAAAATTTTTGAATTCATACATGAATGCTGTATTTCTATCATTTCCACCCTTCCTTTTCCTCTTTCTCTCCAACTCCTCCTGTGTTCTCCACTCTATCAAATTCATAACTTCTTCTTTATTATTTATACACACATATAATCTATGGAGTCCATTTAATGTTGTCCATATGTGTGTTTAGGGCTAACAGCATGAAATTAAATAACCATCCAGGGCTCATTTCTGGAGAAAACTGGTTCTGGTATCTCAGAAGCCATAAATTGCCTGTTAGCTCTTCATCTCGGATTAGGGCATTGTGAGATTTTCCTCATACCCAGTGGCATGTCAACTGATGCTGTCATTCTGCAGGACTTGTTTAAGTGACCACTATTTTTTAGATTATATGGGTGCAGCTTCCCTGTCATATATGGAAGACACTATCTCATAGTAGATGCCCTGGTCCTCTGGCTCTGAAAATCTTCCTGCTGTTCTGTATTGTTCCCTTAGGTGTAGGGGTTGTTAGAAATATATCGGTTGGTATTGGTCAATTGTTTTTTCTGTAGTTTGACTGGCTGTGGATTTCTGTAGGGTTCTCCATCTGCTGCAAAAAGAAGCTTCTTTGATGAGAGGTGAGAGCTGCACTTCCCTTTGGGTATAAGGATATGTATTTAGAATGCAGTTAGGGTTATACTGGTTTAGCAAAGTATAAGTAGTAAGTTCTCTTCTTCGGGCCATGACTTCAGCTAGGTGGTTGGCTGTGTTTACAGTATCAGACATGAATTCTCTCCTACTAAGTGTGCCTTTTCCAATTTGATGGCTCTTGCTTATCCCCCAAGACATAAGTGCCACTATTACACCTTTGGAGACATCATCCCATGCTGGTTATCATTGGCCATAGGCTTTACAGCTCAGTAAGTCTATTGATTTCTTTTTTCTTTGACTTCTCCAATAGCATCTTCTCATACTTTAAGAGCTAGTCCTTGGAAAAGAGGTTTCCAAATCATTTCCAGCTTTATTTCTCCAAGTTCTATGTCCAAAATGTATGGTGTCTTCAGCAAATAAGGTCTTTCCCTCAGTTTGGGGAGGCCACCAAGGGCAGTGGCAATAGCCTGTATTGTTTTGGGGTCTCTTGGAATCCCCGACCAACTCGAAGGGAGGCTTTTCATGCCTAATACTTTCTTTTAAGATTTGAAGATTTTATTTTTATGTTTATGGGCATTTTGCCTATGTGTATATCTGGTCACCATGTATGTACAGTGCTCACAGAAGTCAGGAAAAGGTATGGGATCCCTTGGAACTAGAACTACAGACAAGTGCTGGGACTTGAACCTGGGTTCTCTGGAAGAACAGAAAGTAGTATGACTAAATCATCTCTCTGGTCCTGGTACTAAGGGTTTTGTTAGATAGTCTACAGAATTCCATGGTATTACAATTTTTGCTTAGCTGTTTATAGTCTCAAAAAATCAATTGGAAAAGGCAAGTCCATTTTGTATTTATGGACATTTTTATTCTCTTCATTTTTGTTGTTTCTGTTATTTTCTTTCTTTTTCAATTTAAATTCGCTTTGAATTCTTTCTATGTATCTATGTATGTATGTATGTATGTATGTATCTATCTATCTATCTATCTATCTATCTATCTATCTATCTATCTTTGCCTTCTCTTGTGTGTAGACAGACATGTATTTGTCAGAGGACAGCTTACAGGAGTTAGTTCTCTTCATATGTGTCATAGAAATAGAACTTTGGTCTTCAGGCCTGGCAGCAGGTGCCTTTGTCTGAGGCTCCTCATTGGCCCTCAGTTTAGAGAACTTTTAAAAGTCAATCTTTTTTAAGTTTGTTTTATCTGTGATGATTTTAAACATTCTTCCTTTTATACCCATGAGAGTTATCTTCCTCTTCATGTTTGAAAACCATGTTCTCTGGATCTAGGGTTCTAGCTTCAGTTCTCATGACTGTGTGCTGCCTGTTCTGTGGTTTGCAGCAGGAAATGTGTGCCTGAAAACTCCCACATTCTTTTTTAGGGATGGCTCCGGCTTCTCAAGTTGCTTTCAACTTGTTTTGTTAATTATGATGTGTCTTGACCTAGATGGATGTCTTAGGGTCTTGTCTTATTTGGGGTTTCTTGACTCTAAATGTCTTTGTCTCCTGGCAGATGTTAGTTTTAGCCATGGTTGGTTGAATTTTGTGTTAGCTCTCTTCTTTCTTGTTCATTTCTTAGACTGTTACATCTCTGTCTGATTACAGCCCAGACCCTCAGCTTCCCTGCATCCTGTGCCCTGCTTCTGTTTCTCTCTTCTCCGCTCTGCTGTTGAATCCATTCACAAGGTTTTTACCTCAGTTACTAGACTTTAGCTCTCAACTTTCCATGTGGGTCTGTTTGTTTGTTTGTTTGTTTCATTTTTATTGTTCATTTTACATTTGTGGGTGTTTTGCCTGCATGTATGTCTGTGCACCATATGTGTGCCTGGTGCCTGTGAAGGCCAAGAAGGCAGTGGAAAGGGTACTTTCTCTGTACATGGTAACTAGATCTAAACCAAAATTAAAGGCATGTGCTATCACTCCTGGCTGTTGGCAAATTTTAATAAGCTAGAAAGTAACTAAATCCTAACGAGATTTCAAAAAAGTTTCCATATGATATTTTTTTTCTAGGTATATTTTATCTGTGAAATACTGTATTTTCTTCTGCATTTTCTTTTAACTCTTCTGTTGCTGTGACCAAATACCTGACAAGAATTGACTTAAGAGAGGGTTTGTTTTGACTTACTGTGAATGGCACACCGTCCACCATGACAGACAGCCTTAGCAGCCAGAATAGCAGGATACTGTTCACATTGGCATCTTCCCTCAGGAAGCAGAGAGAGGATAGAAAGTGGGGCCTGGTTGTAGAAACCCTAGAAACCCACTCATTTCCTTCAGCCAGGTTCCACGTCCTAAACCTTCCATAACCTTCCAGAAGAGTGCCACTGGCTGTTCAAAGACATGAGCCTGGGGGGGGAGGGCATGTTTCACAGTCCGGCCACAGCACACACAGTCTGGTGTGTGTATGTGTGAGAGAGGATTACTTGAGGCAGTGGACTTCGGAGCTGTGGGTACTATTGTGTGCTACACTTTTAACTATTTATCCCTTTGTTCTTGTATTGCATCTTTTTATCCTGAAGAAGTAGTTCTGAAGGTCTGGTCTTTTAACAACCATTCTTCCTCAGTTCTTGGGAAGGAAAAGTGTGTTCTGAGCTGAAGCTGTATAGAATCAACTAGATCTTCCTCTTAAAACTTGGCCTGCCTGCATTTCTTTGCTCTATGCCTTGGTTCTTTTTGTTGTCTGTTTTCTTTTGTGTTTTTATCTTGTCTTATGATAATCAAAAGTTAGGCATTCCTAATTTTGTAATTCTATCAAGAACTTAGTTTATTCAGAGTGGCTGTGAAAAGTGTATAGACATTTATTGGGATATATAGACTTTAGTGTGATGGTTAATTTTGGTATATGACTTTTTTATTTGTAAGATTTTTTATTTTTTTTGTCGGGCGGTGGTGGCGCAGCCGGGCGGTGGTAGCGCACGCCTTTAATCCCAGCACTCGGGAGGCAGAGCCAGGAGGATCTCTGTGAGTTCGAGGCCAACCTGGACTACCAAGTGAGTTCCAGGAAAGGCGCAAAGCTACACAGAGAAACCCTGTCTCGAAAAACCAAAAAAAAAAAAAAAAAAAAAAAAAAGATTTTTTTTTATAGTAAAGTTGTTTTTTTTTTTTTTTTTTAAAAAAAGGTAAAGAACTTAGTCCAACTTTCCTTTTCTTTACAGAAAGGGCAATTGCAAGACATGAAGTCCGGGAAATTGAACAGCGACATACAATGGATGGCCCTCGGCAAGATGCAACTTTAGATGAAGAAGAGGATATAGTCATCATTTATAACAGAGTTCCCAAAACTGCAAGCACCTCCTTTACCAATATCGCCTATGACTTGTGTGCAAAGAATAGGTACCATGTTCTTCACATCAACACTACCAAAAATAATCCAGTAATGTCACTGCAGGATCAGGTAATTTCCATGTAGGGAATACGAAATGCTTTCTGGCATCTCCTCAAATTTGATATTGCAAGGGATAAAGAGTTTGAAAGGATGTGTGCACTGTGGTCAGTGAATTGTAAGCAGCTTTTATGTGTGTGTGTGGGGGGGGGACTGTTTTCCACATTTATAATCTTCTTAATACTTGATACATTTTCTTGCATATAATCTATAGTCAGAAATTTGTGTACTAAGCAAACTGATAAATAGCTAAAAGTTATGAACACAGTTTTGATATTCTTCCATATGGAATATCTTGATCGTTGTTTATTTTTTTGAGACAAGGTTTTTCTATAAACTCCTGGCTGTGCAGGAGCTCACTATGTAGACTAGGCTGGCCTTGAACTCACAGAGATCCACACGCCTCTGCCTCCCAAGTGCTGGAATTACAGGTATGCACCGCCATGCCCAGCATGGAGTCATTTTTTTTTAACTTGATTAGATGCCTGCAGCAAAAGTTATTTTATTGTCTCAACTTACGATGAGGAAGTGTTAGCTCGATACCTGTATGAAGTTCTTTACTAGCCTCCTGAATTTCATCTTCAGTAACTCATGTACAATATTAGCCATAAATTAACCTCCTGGAGAACAGATAGTGGCTGATGTCTTTATCAAAGTCTTATCTTTTGATTGTCAGGAATTTTATATGATCAAGTGGATAGGTAACTTCATAAAATGGTTTTTTTAAAATAGAGGAGATTGTTAAATGAAATCTAGTTTATTCATCTCTTCCAAAAGTAGCTTACAGTTTTCCACACACCTGCAGTGATGACTATAATTATAAAGTTCTCATTGTAAATACTGAAGGCAGTGGGTATTTGACCATCATAAAAAGAAACTGAAATCCTTGGTTACCCCAAATGCCACTGGAGTAGCTTTATTAGAAGGTATCCATTACAGTCATACTGCAGCTAGGGCTTTAGCTGTTTGAAAGCAGAGGAACTCGTTTTGTTATGGAATTGAACATTTTCCCACTGAAGCCTATCTGTAACCCTTATACTAAGCAGGGAATAAAACTGATAAGGGTTTTGGCCAGAGAATTATTTTTGAAGGCTAGTGGTAGATGGCATATCATCTACCCATCTGCTTTTTGACTGTCTGTAGGATAATTTATTTTTCATAGAATCAAAAAATATATGTCTGTTAGCTAAACCAAATAATTTTCTGTAAATGAAACACAAGCTTTTTCACACTATTGGTTATTAAAAAGTTCACAGCACAATACTGTATATCTCAAGGGACAGCATACTAAATGTTATTTTGCATTCTGTATAGTGGGTTTGCGTTGCTGCATTGCACAGCATACCTTGATTTAAAAGAAGCGTGTCAGAATAACGTCAGATTTCCTCAGCAGTATTTTTTTTTAATGTTAACTTGTTTGTTTGACTTTTACTTATTTTGTGTCCAACCTTCCAAAGTTTTTTGGCAGCTACAAGGCATCTGGCAATGACACCCATGCTTTTTTTCCTCATGAAATGTAAGTGTGGAGACGCTCCCCACACATGACATTTATCAGCACCATGTAGCTTCGTTTCCAGTTGCGTTTGGATAGGATACAGCTTCTGCATCCTTTGCAGCAGCTTGGTGTTTATATAGAAGAAGCATACAGAGAATCAGAACTGCTGGCCTAAAGCAGTCAGCTTATGTAATGAACAGCACCAAGAGCTTTTTCCTTTTTTTATTGTGGAACACTTTAGGGAAGTAGTCTTAAGCATTAAATGACATGTTCCAAGTGTCAGCCAGTAATTCAAAACCTGGTCCTAATGAGGAGTGGCTTATACAGAAGTGTCCTCCGATAGAGTATGTGTAAAGTTTACTCATCTCCTGTGCAGAAGCCATTTTCTAAAAACAAGCCACATTGCAGCTCCCTTTCCTTATCATGACATGTTTAGAGCACCTTCATTTGCAACCCAAGAAGCTTCATCTAAATGTAAACTTGAAACTATAATTTTGAAGTCGTTTTTTCAAATATCCCATCTTCTCTACTATACTTCTGTTTTAATGTCATATTTTTGTTGTGCTAGTGTACAGTATTCAGCTAGTTAAGTAGGAGTTAAGGCTGTTTTTACTCTTCCTAAGCAAGTAGCATTAAATTGACGTCTGACTTTAGTGAATGTACTGTTGTACAGACCCTCCATTTAAAGCCCAATTGACTCATAAAGCTGGGGCTGTCGTAGGAGACCCTGGTCCATTTGGATCCTTATGTATCCAAATGGAGCTCTTCACTCCAGTCCATTCCAGCTCATCCCAGACAGCTCAGCTCTGCATATCTTGTATGCGCTCTACTAGGCACCATATAAATACTCACATGCTTAATTACTGTTCTCACAGTTTAGCAGCACAGCACTAGACACGTTTAGTCGATACAGAGCTGGTCAGGGAGATGACAACAGTGGCAGCTTTAGCAATCCTGGAAAGTCACCAGCTTGGCTCTCAAATGTCTCATTTACCTTACTGAACACATGATATATACAAAGATTGTGCCACATTCTTTGGGAGAAATACCAATGAAATAAGAAGCCAAGGGATGTCTTTCAAAGAGCTTTTTACAATTTACTTGACAACCTAAGACAAAATCAGAAATTGAAGATAATTAAAACATCAATGTATGATGATCTCACCAAAATGCTTTGTATGGACATAACTAAAGAAAGCAAACATTCATGTCAGAACATCCTGTGAAACAACTCTCCTTGTCTTTTCCAGAGTTTCAGTGTTGTGACAACCAACAGCGGACTGGGTGCTGGGGTGGAGGCTCAAGACTACAGGAGACTAAGATGTGGAAAGCAAACATGTGTAATCTGTAATTGGACTTTTGATTTAAAACGATAAGGTCCTTGTTCATAAATAATACACAATGTTTAAGAAGGAAGTGTGGATGTGTGCTGTTCTCAGGTAGTTGAGAACAATGAGTATGTCTGAGCACGTAGAGACAGCATACTGGAAGTACAATGTATTAACAGTTAAGGATCTAGGTAAGCAGTTTGTAGATGTTGGCACCAGACCGTTTCAACTTTTCCATAGTGTAAAGTTTGTTTGCTTTGGACAGCTTCAGATATGCAGGGATGTTGTACCTTAGTCTCCAGTCTGAAATAAAGCAGTTGGGATGGTGGAAGAAGAAAGATTTTTAAAGAGGAGATTAATAGAATATAAAGCATAAGAAACTAAGTGATTAAAATGAAACAGCCTTTGTTAGAGTTTGGTTTTTGAGATGACCTTTAATTCAGATTAAAAAAAAAGAATTGGCAAGGGCTGGAAAGGTGGCTCAGTGGTTAAGAGTGTTGATTGCTCTTCCAGAGGGCCTAAGTTTGATCACCCAGCACTCACATGGTACCTCACAGTCATCAGTAACTCCAGTTGCAAGGGATCCAGTGCCCTCTTCTTACCTCTGTGGGGGCCAGGCATGCATGTGGTACACAGACACACACATGGAGACAAAACACTCATACACATAAAAAATAAAATACATTTTTTTAAAAAAAGAGTTGCTTAGAGAAACAGCTCTTCTGGTTAAGAACAGTAGGTGTGATTGGCAGCATCCTGTGTGGTCTTTGTTAAATCCATTCTGTTCTCATATGCTGAAGTTGATTATGTAGGACCCCTCTTGCTCTAAACATTGGAAGCATCTAGCCCTACAGGACAGCATAGTAAAATATTTCTATTGTATGTGCATGTGCGTTTCATTAACTTACTCTCAAGCTGCCTTGTGCTCATTTTCATTAGAGCCTACAGTTTGCTATGTGTTGCAGATACTTCTCAGAGCAACATGCTAGCTAATCTTTGGTTAAAATGCAGGTTCTCACTCTGAAGGACCAAATGGAGCTTGATGTTCTGAATTTTTAAAAAGCTTCCACTTGATGCTGCAATTTGAGAATCAGTGATTTAGAACACAGTTCAGCAGTATACAAAGACACATTGAGATCTTTGCAGAAAGTTTTATTTATCTTTAAATTCATCTTACTACTTTGCATAGAGCAACCAAATTTCTTATCCAGTAGCCACACTAGCCTTTAGGATCATTGACTGTATCAGGCCTTTCTCACTTTAGGACCTCAGTTCTTACCTTCTCTAGAGTGAATTTCACCCTCGGTTGTCTTCCTATTATCCTTTCGGTGTTTCGGGTTAAATGACAGGCCCTTGGACCTTGACTAGCCATCCTATGTTATATTAAATGCTCTTCCAAAGTATTGGAACCACATCACTCCTAATCCTAATCAATTTATAAAATTAGGTTACAGTCTGGTTTTATTTCTTTTTGTTTTCCTCTGTTGTAGTGTAAGCCCCTTGAGGGCAGACATCTTGCTTGTCTGCTGTATACCCCATGCCTTTTGCCTCAAATGGGTGACCAAGACATGGAAGATACTTGGTGCATTTTTTGTTAAATGATGAATGTTTAAGCAAATGAGCCAACCTAGATTTTGGTGGTAGTCCTTTGCTGATTACGGCACCATGGTTACAGCTCTAAGCAGAGTCAACCCTCTAATTGATGGAAGTTTGATCCTTACCTCTTTGGGTGATTTAGGACTCTTGAGCACCTCGGGTCTGAACCTCAGACTCAGTGCCCTCTGTTGCAGCTGAACTTACCTTTTTATCTATCCACTAACTCGTTTTCCCCTGAGTATAGAAAACCTTCTCTCTGGTTTAGACTTAAAAAAAAAAATGCCTATGACTAGATAAGAGATGTTTACTTAAAGTAAATTTATGAGTAGGAGTTGGTGAATAGTAATTACTCAAGTTAATACTAGTCTTCATCTCAATAGATAGTAATTACAAAGTTGGAATTAGGCCAGGGAATTCAGGGATACTCCTACTCCTTCAGATAGTGGGAAGGAGTTCTTCTGTGATCACAGATGATCAGGATGTGGAGTTGAACCTGTCGAGAATGTCGGCTTAGATACTGTTCATACAAAGGTGCCTTCTTAGCTTTTTCCTTTTGAATTGGTTCAGATCTGATTCAACAAGCAAATAAATCA